AAGAACTGTCTGAAGATAATAATCAGAAGTGTTCAGTGATTTATCTTCCTTGTTCCAGCATGTGAAAAATCATTATTTGTCTTATTTGCATTGACATGCCAACCAATGACATTACGTAATCACCTTCAAAGATTTCCCTTGTTTTTGAAGTAGTCGCTCGGATAGTTCTGCACCATTTCACAGAAAATGTTATACAATAAATCTGGAAAATCTGCTAAGAAGAAAAAAAAAAAAAGGAAATTGACAACCTCTGATGGGGGATGGGGCAAGAGTGTTGGCTCCTAAGAGGGCAAGGACAAAGACCAACCGAGGCTCCCGGGAAAGAAAAATGTACAGTTGTTTACTGAAGTTTTGACACAGGTCAGAGGATTGAATTATCAAAGTATGGATTTAGGGAAGACAGAGGTAGTGGGGTCAGGGGAGGGGGGCAGAAGAGGAAGCACAGAGGAAGAAGGGAGCTGCGTATGAGTCAGTGGCTTGCCATTCTGCATCTGGCAGTGGGCTACAATCCCTGTGTCTCTTTTTATTTCTATTTGGAATGCCAGTTAGCAGGTTAAGAGCTCTGAAAACCTATGCAAAATATGCTTAAAAGATTAATGGGTTCCATATATAACACTCAGGTGTGGCCAGCGAGAGCCCTATGAAATCAAGCTCCTTAGAAGTATCTGGAAGGCCTCACCTCCATTTTAATAACAAGTACATCATAAAAGTACTCCAAAGAGAATAGGGGCAAAATGACCTTAATAGTCACTATGCTAAAAAATAGACCAGACTCATCGCCGTCAAGTCAATACCAGTTCATGGTGATTTCATGTGTTACGGAGTAGAACTGCTCCAAAGGATTGTCTTGGCTATAATCTTTATGAAACCAGACCACCAACGTTTCTTCTGTGCTGATGGGTGTGTTCAAACCATCCACCTTTAGGTTAACACTTGAGCATAAACCACTTGCACCAAAGTCCAAAAATTCCAATAGATATTTGCAAAAGGTCCATTTAATTTTACTTATTCTAAGCCAAAATATTGACATTGCCAAGGATTAAATTTTACTTAGATCCACAGTCAACGCCCATGGAAGCAGCAGTCACAAAATGAATCAAATGACATATTGTATTGGGCAAATTTGCTGCAAAATACCTCTTTAAATTGTTAAAAAGCAAAGATGTCACTTTGAGGACAAAGGTACACCTGACTGAAGCCATGGTATTTTTCAATAGCCTCATATGCATGCAAAAGCTGGACAATAAATAAGGAAGACTTAAGAAGAATTGATGCCTTTGAATTACAGTGTTGGTGAAGAATATTAAATATACTGTGGACTTCCAGAAGAATGAATAAATCTGTCTTAGAAGAAGTACGGCCAGAATACTCCTTAGAAACAAGGATGGTGAGACTTCTTCTCACGTAATTTGGACCTATTATCAAGGAGCTCTGGTGGTGTAGTGCCTTAGACACTTGACTGCTAACCAGAAGGCTGGCGGTTCATACCCCCAAGCCACTCCTCAGAAGGAAGATGGGGCAATCTACTTCAATAGTGATACTGCCTTGGAAACCCAAGGGAGGGGTCATTATGAGTCGAGGCGGACTCAATGGCAAATAACAACAACAGCAACAACATCAAGAGAGTCCAGTCCCTGGAGAAGGACATCATGCTTGGTAAAGTAGTGGGTCAGTGAAAAAGAGGAAAATCCTCAAAGAAACGGATTAACACACTGGCTGGATCAATGGACTCCAACAGAGCAATGGTCGTTAGGTTGGCACGGGACTGGGCACTGTGTTGTTCTGTTGCACACAGGGTCACTATGAGTTGGAGCTGTCTTGATGTCTCCAAATGAATAATTTCCTTGGACAAGTTTGGCTTTTACTTATTCTTTACATACTTTGTATTAATGGTACACCTTGGCCAGAGTATTGAGTAGAAACTTTTTATCGCTCTCTTTGTCCTTATTTGTAAATACCCCTCTTCATCACAGTATGTGCATGTTGCCAGGATGTACACTGTGTGTGAAGAAACAGAATTATTTAGAGAAAACTCCCTGGTAGCAGAAGATCTTGTTCCGATTTCATGGAGAAAAGACATGCTACTAAGCTAGGACTCCCTCAACCTTCCACCATCTAATGTGTAGATTCTTCTGTTTTCCTGTTTTATCCTCCTCTCCACTGTCTCCTGTCTAAATTGACCTTTTCATGTAATCTCTGCATCTCATTCCCCTTTGCCTTCTCAGGGACCATTCGTATCGTCTGTCTCTCCCATTTTTTTCTTCTTTTTACTGGGTAGTTTCCATCAGTGTTTAAACGTAGTCAAATCTCTCACATGTTTAGTAACAACAATAACAAACATATGCACACAACTCTAATCCCAGACCCCTCAGCCCCTCCCTTAACCCCTGCATCCACTTCTGTCTTTGCTTTCTCCCTTTCCTGGACAGACTCCTCAACTGCTTTGTCCAGACTTGCTGTCTCCATTGCCCAAGCATGTCTCCTCCCACTGCAGTCTGGCTTCTGTCCCCAGCCCACCTGTTCTTCTAGTGTCCCCAGTCTTAGAGAACGGTGGCAGCATCCCCCTAGTTGCCTGCACCAGAAACCTGGTGAGAAATCGGATTCTTCCCTCCTTCCTCACTTCCCCACATAAAACTTAACACCCAGTCCCACTGATGTGGTCACTAAAGCTCTCGCAAATCAATCCATCCACTCTTCCCATCCCCCTTACCCTTCCTTGTTGTTGTTGTTGTTATGTGCCGTCGAGTCGGCCCCGAGTCATAGCGACCCCTCCTTGGGCTTCAGAGGCAGTATCACTATTGAAGTAGGATTGCCCAACCTTCCTTCCGAGGAGTGGCTGGTGGGTTTGAACCGCCAGCCTTCTGGTTAGCAGTCAAGTGCTTTAGCCACTATGCTACCAGAGCTCCTTACCCTTCCTTAGTTTGGGAAATTATTATTTTTCTTTTTACATTCAAGGGGATGGGTTGGCAGGGATGTGTTGCCACATGATGAAGTTATAAACACTTAGGGGTGCTGGGGACTGCATAGGAAAAGATCTAGTTCCTAGAGATTTTCTGGTCATTTGTGCACCCTTCTTCTTTGGGTTTTCTCTTTTAATGGAGACTTTTGCATTGATCTGCCGATTCCTTTTCCCTTCTCTGGCAATTTCCTCTAGTTTATGAGGGACACTTCCCTTGTTCCTGGTAGCTCTGAGCTCACAAGTATCATTTCAGTTCTGTGGCCAGGTCCTGGCTATGACCCTCAGTACTGTATTAGTTTGAACTGATAATTGACTCTCCTGGGTTTTAATTTCCTTCTCTGTTGAATGAGTGGCTTCCCTTAAACAAGCAGTTCTCAACCCTGACTGCACATTATAATCACCTGGGGGAGCCTTTAAAACTTCCAGTGCCCAGGTCATATCCCAGACCAATGACATCAGCGCCCTGATGCCCAAACCCCGGGGTTTCTCAAGCTCCCCCAAAGATCCCAATGTTGAGAACTGCTGATTTAAATGAGTTTACAGGACGTGTCCTCATCCATTATCTTGCATTTCTATCATCCATCATCTTGTGTTTCTATCATCCATCATCTTGTGTTTTTATCATGCCCCAATCCCAAGTTGAGGTTTCTCCTCTTTTAATGTTTTTACTAAATTGAGAAGAAATAGCTGTGAGGCTCCCCCCACCCCCTTCCATCTGCTGTTTGTTCTTATTTACATATGACGGAACCCAGCCCACTGATTTACAGCTCTCGTTCCTTACAACTGTTATTGAACTGAAAACATAGCTGAAAACTTATTAAACAGAAAAAAAAATTGTTTTGAGCTTCATGCCGACAATTCATTACAGAACCAAGGAAACATTTCAACTTCCTTCCTTCTAGAATTAATGTTAAAAATTGATTTACAGCATCACAATCCCAAATGACAATTTTAATTCTCACACAGAATAACTACTACTTATTCTTTTTTAGGTATCTCATGAAGAAACTGAGGCGATAATGGTGGTGGTTCCACACCATGGTGGATATAGTTAACGTCACTGAATTGTACTCTTAAAAATGGTTAAAATGACCAAAGTTATAGAAATTTTACCACCTTTTCTTTCTTTCTTTCTTTTTTTAAAGAAATAAAACTGAGTCATCTCTGCAGGAGAGTGGAGTTTTAGGGGCCTTGCACCTGTGAACAGGCAGGGCCTTTTCTGTCTGCTCCATGGGAGGGCTTTGAGGTTAAGTCTTACCATCTGTTTTCCTCCAGTCCTCTCTACTGCTTCACAAATGCTGCAGCAAAGCCAGGTGGCCAGTCTCACTGCTTCCACACTTTGGATCAAGTCTTTCAGAAGACTTCCTTTCTGTAGCAGGTCCATTTAGACCAACCATTGTAATTTGAAATAACTAAGCCTTTTCTGAGCTGAGAGGGAGAGGATACTGGAGTAGGAAGATGGTAGAGAACAGCCAAGCATTTGATTTAACCTCTGGCACTGAATTTGGAAAGAAGGAGGGTCCTGCCATAAGTCTGATTTATGTTAGAGACATTTCCTTGGAGTGCTGGCTCTTCCTGCCTGTTTCTCTGTTTATGGTATCTCAACTGTTCCCTTTCATTCACTTTCTTCTGCAATTCCTTTCGGAAATAACAGCCCATGCCTTTGGTTGTCTCTCTCTAGCTCTTATTGAACTGTTAAAATTGGTTGCCACCTCACTAAGAGGGAATAACGTGGTGGCTACAGATAGATAAGCTGTTAGTCATAACCAATGAGGAATCCCTTTTCCATATAATCCTTTTACAACTGGGCCATCAGATTATTCTCATGGAAATAAATTGTTAGTCATTTTCTAATGGTAGGGAAGGAAAGACATTTTCCTTGAAAAAGAGATTTCACTAAAGTATGGAGGCAAGCTGAAAGAAAACTCTTTCCCACTGTAATTATCATTGAAATATTTTTTGTGCAAGCTGGTTTTAGCCCAGAGAAGTTTGTCTGAATCTTCTTGGTTTTGACCCTGCCTCTTTGGGTATCTTCTTGTAGATGGAGGAATTGATTGAGGGTGTCCGCTGGGCCTTTATTGACATGCTGGAGAAAGAAAATGAATGGATGGATGCAGGGACCAAAAGGAAAGCCAAAGAAAAGGTAATGATAAAAACAAAAATAGAACTTTTGGTGTAAAGGGTTTTCCTGCTTCACAATGACTATGTAGTGGGTTTTTATATTAATTGAGCTGCTGACACTGAATGACTCCAGAGTTAGGAGTCTGTTTTTGGATGAATACATACATAGATTTCATCTCCAGGAGGCAAGAGAAATAAGATCTGACTTTTTCTTTTTCTAATTGCGTTTTTGAACACCTTGTAATTTAGCCTTTCCTTCTCTCCTAATTGCTGTCTTTAAGAGCCACATGGCTTGCTGCCCAGTGAATTTTGCCATAAACCATCACTGGATATGGCAGAATGCAGAGCAGTGGGGAGCCATGGGGAGCAGCTGGCAGAAGAGGCCTCAAGACATAAAGAAGAAAAACCCATATTGACGTGTGTTCCTCTGCTCTGTACACGATGTGTGCAAGTGTCCTCGGGCAAATCTTTTCCTTTAACCAAGCAGATCTACTTTCTAACCCATCATTTTGCACAAATGACCTAAATAGCATGCTTATAAACTGCAGACCAGTGGTAGACCATTGTGTAGGAATACAAAATTTTTTCCTAATAGAAATGGATACTTGCTGGGCCTTGTAAAATTTTCTGGTTCTGTGTAACAAGGTAAGGGAATAAATGAGAACAGCATTAGCAGCTATGATGTTTCAAACTAAAGAATGGGACCCATCTTGAATTCCAGGTTTCTGATGGAGCCAGAGCTCAAGTGGGTAGGGAACATTTGCTGCGTGCTTACTGGATGCCATTGTGCTGAGTAACTCTGAAATTAGGAGCATCTTTTCTATAGAGTGAAGGCGTTCCCGTGGTGTAGTGGTGAAGGCATTTGGCTGCTAACCAAAAGGTCATTAGCTCAAACCCACTAGCTGCTCCACAGAACAAAGATGAGGCGGTCTGCTTCCATAAAGATTTATAACCTTGGAAACCCAGTGGGGGTCGCTGTGAGTCAGAATCGACTTGATGTCATTGAGTTTGGTGTTTGGTTTTTGGTTTGGTTTCTATAGAATAAGGAGCCCTCCTGGCAGAGTGGTTAAAGCGGGAGACTGCTAAGCAACACACAGTTCAAACCTACCAGCTGCTCCACAGATGTGGTAGTCTGCTTCTGTGAAAATTTACTGCCTTGATTTTTGCATTTTGGAAACCCTATAGGGTTGCTATGAGTTGGAACCGACTCAACGGCAATGAGGTGTTTTTTATTTTTTCTGTAGAATGGTGTTTGCTAAACTTTTCTGATGCTAGCCATTGCCTGTGTTGCCTGGACATGACAGAGCTTCTGGAAGCCTCCCAACACGGTCTGATTCAGTGGCTCAAGGGTGCAGTCAGAACGTTTGTGATTTCCACCAGTCTTTCTGGTGATTCCTTTCACTATGCAAGTCTGGGGAATACTGCTTAAAGTCTGACCTTCTATTCTGTCTGAGCACAAATATTTATGCTTTATGGTCAAGAAACAAGAGGGCAGCATTCTGGAAAGGCTTGGCCTTGTTGAAATGGGACCGTGCAGAGAATTAGCAGGGATAATTTCTAGAGCTTTGTCATCTCTCTCCCCCTGAGAAGGAGAAACATTGTCTTACATGTTTTTGTCAATAGACATGAAAACGCTGTTCAGTGTTTATCCTGAAGAATGAACTTGGGTAGGGGTGGAGGAGGAGTTTCGGAGGAAGACAAAGGGGAAGTTTGAGTTTTTTTCCCACTCGAAGATCTGTCAAAGCTGTCTTGAGTCACATAAGGCACAGGCTAATGAAGGCCGGAGCATGCGGGCCGTGATGGGAAGCTCTTCAGATGGTAGATGAAACTTTCAGCACCAACGTGTTTTCTTGAAGCCTTCTTTTATTTGCTGAGCTAGCTTGTCATTTTTAGAACCCAGTGTGTCTTGGACTGGGGCAGTGGAGAGCCCAGTGTGTTAAACACACGCTCACATACATTCACACACACACAACTCGTTGCTGTAGAGTCGTTTTAGACTTATAATGACCACCCTATAGGACAGAGTAGAACTGCACCAGAGAGTTTCTAAGGCCGTAATCTTTATGGAAGCAGACTGTCACATCTTTCTCCCATGAAGCAGCTGCAGGGTTCAAACCACCGACCTTTCAGTGAACAGCTGAGTGCTTAACCACTCTGCCACTAGGGCCCCTCCCAGTGTGTTAGAGGCCCTTTATCCTAGCTCAGCTCCTTGTGGACTAAGGGAAGATGTGTATGAATGTGTACGGGGCCACTAGTGGGGAAGGGTGGGATATAGTGGTGTTATGAACAGATGGATGCCAGGGGAGTGTTCTGAGAACTGTGGTCTGTTTTGTGATAAGTAAGTATTGTGATTGCCTTGGGGAGATCTTCTGAGCTGCATGTGGAATCCGGCCCCCTTAGAGTGGGCCTTCTAGGCAAGTGGCCTGTGAGTCCTTCTTCGAGGAGGACTATTCTCAGTACTTCTAATATTAGACGTGTTCCTGTTTGCCCCTTGAGCTGCTCTCCAGTCTTGTATCTCATTTCAATGAGAGCTGACCCCTTTTCTTCTAAAAGTACTCTTTGAACACTCTGCAGTCTTTGAGCTGAGTCCAACCTGCCAGGAACACTGCTAGTTCCTCCAGGTGCATGTATTAAAGGCAATTGTCCTACTGGATCTCGACAGGTCCCCCAAGTGTTTCCTGTATTTCACAGTTCAGAGCACTTACTTTAATGAAAGGCAAGAAAGAGGGATGTTGTCCAAGAATTTCTAGCAGTTCTCTGAGGCGGGTCCTGCCCTGGACCCCGACACATGTAGATTTTCTTTTTCAAAACTTAGTTCACATGCGTGCATTTCTTGAAATGACCTCTGGGTGGAGCTCGTAGTACTCACAAAGACAACATTCCATGAGCTGAAGGCGTTTATGCAGCTTTCTGTTCTGGGGTTGTTTTTGAAAATTTTTTTTTTCTTGTCCTTTTTTCTCTGCTGTCCTCGATTTGATTGCCTTTTAATAGTCAACAAGAAAGAAGAAGCTCTGCTTAATAATTCTTTGAATCTTAGATGGAAATCTCTGACTATCTGAGGGTTTTGTCTCTCTGATACTGAGTTGCCCCTGCATTAAGAAAGGATTTGCCTGCATTTGAAGTGGAGGTGAATTTGCCTGCTTTTCCTGGTATGACTTGGCACTGTTCTTCGGGCATGTGTTGTATGCAGTATATCACCCAGGTGGAAGATTTCTCATCAATAATAGTGCCCACACTGGGCCAAGGCTGAGTCACTTGGCAACCCATTGGGAAAGCTGGAAAAATGTTCCGATTTGAGAGGGGGAGAAGTGTTTCTTTTCCTCACTGTGAAGCTCTGAACTACAGGTAATTGCTTCCTAAGAGGTATTGACCTCAGCATTCCCTAAAAGGGGGCTTCCTGGACATGGAGGGGCACAGGTCCCCTACAGTGATCTGAGGCCAACCACCTTGGCTTCTGTGACCCCGGACTCAGAATGGAAGTGTGCAGCTGTGGCTTTGTTGTGCTATTCACAAGGGGTAATGACTGTCAAAGATAAACGAGGATGTTCTGCACCTGTGAAGGGTACATTCTCTCTCTCTCTCTTTCTTTGCCTTTTCCCTGCTCCTCTCTTAAGAGGTCATAAGTGGTTTGGGGTTGGGAAACTGATGCTGTATGTTGCAGGTGGAAATTCAGTTTGTGAAAGATGCACCCCTTTTTTGTTTGGGATAAAATGTTCCCTGCAAACATGTGTTCTTGTCAACAAGGAGTAGAGGACAGAAGGCCTGTCATTTGCTCAGTTATAATGGCTATTGTATGAGTGTAAAGTGAGCGAAGAATTATTTTTGGTGGTGGTAGGGGGTGTCTTTCAGAGCACTTGCCTTTTCCAGAGCAGATGTGGAGGATCTCAAGGTCACTCTGCAATGACTGAGGCCTGGTAAGAGAGGGACGCGGCTCGCCTGCCTTCGGCTGTACTGGAGGCTGGAGCAGGGCTTCAGCTGGAGACAAGGCCTGGGTCCGATCAGAGCAGCAGCTTCCTAAGCTCACTGGTCCCTAGCTGGATTCAATTAAGGAGCCAACAACCTGGATAATTCTTGAAATATTTGTTTGAACTCTTTGCCCCTGAGACCTAAGCTCCCCAGGCTACACCCAGAGAAAAATACCAAGATAGGGAGGCAGCATCCAAGGGATTCTGGGAGGGAGTGGCCTCAGCTTTGGCCACAGCAGGTGCAGCCGGCCCCCAGGAGTCTGCTGAATGGTCTCAATTCCACAGGTATGCGGATCCCAGCCATAGGCTTTGAGGGAGGTGGGAAAACTGTTCTTGCAGAGGGCAAAACAGAAGTGTATTTCACCTCTTTGGTGTTGTTTCTAAGCTCTGCCCAATGCTAGGGCCTGTCCCCCAGGTGTACAGTCTGTACTGATTCCTCCGCACCACCCCCATGACCAGCCCAGTGGTTCTCAAGGTGTAGTCCACAGACCAGCATCACTTGGGGACTTGTTAGCAATGTACGTCCACAAACCACCCCAGGCTTACTGAATACTGTGTGTTAAGAAGCCTCTAGGTGTCGCACATGTTCAAGCGTGCGAACCACTGGCCTTGCCCTTACCACTTCACTGCTGTTGTTGTTGTTGTTATGTGCTGTCGTCGAGTCAGCCCTGACTCATAGTGACCCCTCCTTGGGTTTCTGAGGCAGTATCACTACGGAAGTAGGATTGCCCAACCTTCCTTCCGAGGAGTGGCTGGTGGGTTTGAACCGCCAACCTTCTGGTTAGCGGTCAAGTGCCTTAGGCACTGCATATCTGTCTAACTTCCTATGGCCAGCACCTCCATTTTGTCCATGAGCTCTTTCTCTCTCACAACTGGAGCCTGCTTTGTCACTCACAAAGAGGGCCCATAGTCCCAGGAATGAACACACCCTCCTTAGCTGCCCTCCTCCAATGACTGATGGGAGTTTGGGAATGGCTACACGTCCCAGCCCTGCCAGTGGGACAAGCGTGAAGTGTGTGACCCACACAGCCTGCTGAGGTTCCCTTTGGGATGATGC